AGTCATATTTTATGCATGTTTGCATTACATTCATGTTTCTGTCCTTAATCATTGAAATTTATTTCCATGATTACTCTTTGTTAAATAATTGACTCTTAATTTAAAATAATTAGTTCAAATATAATAAACTGAAATGTTAAATTGTGATACAATTTTTATTAGACTGCTCATTTTTTCTATGATGTATGCAATTAAGGGTCCCAGACAAACAAAGTATACCTGTGTAATGATTTTTGTAATTGATGCAAAATTATATTAAAGGGAATTGATTCTTTAAAGTATAATTAGGTAGTCTTCTCTATAGCTGCAGTTAATGATCAACCATTCAGTGGAACAAGTTATCTCCTTTCAGCAGGACTAGCACATGTCCTGTTAACAGCCTTAGCTCTGGATCCATGTAGCTCCTCCAGACTTGCAATGGGACGTTTTTAAGTAAATACAATGAATTGTTAAAGTCCCATCTCCTGTAATAACATAGCTTGTCCCTTCATGTCGATGGCTCACCTCTCTGCACCTGAGTTTCAAGAACAGCTGAAAACTTAGTTGAAGGGATAGTTATGCGTGTAATGCATCCGAGGCTGTAGGACTACCCAAGATAGAATTTCCCAACGCTGCAACATGAGCACTTTCGCTGCCAAAAGCTAAAGTATGTGTGTGGTGCATGCTTAGAGGGTTAGTGTAACACCTATCAGGCTTGCATCCGAAAAAAGGGAATCTACATTTAGCCGCTTGTATATTATGCAATGCTTTACTGTAGAAAACAAACACTGGATTCATAACAATCTGTTTGGCATGTAGACTTTTTATTTATCGCCTTAATGACCTTGAAAAATGCATGTTTCACTTTCAGTTGCACAGATTTTGAATAGTAAAAATACAGGACACAAGTCACTGCTCTCATCTTTGACATTTAACCGACAATACATTATATCTGCACATGAAATAAACATAACTTTTCAGGCTGAGGTCCTCGGTGCACAGTGAAAGTACTAAGCTGTGACTCTTCTTGAACTTAAGACAACCAAAAATGTTCCCTGTGTGATTTAGTAAAGGAAAACATTTTGGACAAAGTTCTATTTGAAAGCCCCTTAGAGCCCTTAAAAGTAATCTGGTGAACAGACAGCCCAAATGTTTACTTCTTTGCACGCCTTGACCCCTTAAACAGTCTGTTTTCCTCATCCCTCCTTGTCAGGTTACAGAAAGGGCACCATCGCAGAATTATCTTGTGGCACTTGTATGAAAAAATTACTCATCTTTAAAAACAAATATACAATATATACAAAGGCCAGTATCAAGCAAGAGACCTTAGCTGCACATGTGTGTTTCAGTTTTATGCCTGTGGTCTTTTGAAGCACTGCTCCAAGACATCAAACTATGATTCCCAAGAGACTGCAGCTGATATGATATCCAGGTTAGGCTTACAGTAAGGGTCAAGTGGTGTGGGGGTATATTTAAGGGTAAGGCTAAAGTTTAAACAGGGGGGAGAGGTCTGTGCAAAACATTCATCAAACAACATAGACCCTCAGTGAGGGAAGCAGTAAGCTCCACTGAAGCCCATAGACAAGGAAGTACCAGCTTTAGTCCTTTTAAGACTTAAGCTATAATAGTTAATCAAGCTAAAGGCATGTTGAATAGAATATTTGTGGTCCCTTTAGCGTTGACCTCTAGAACTCTATGAATAAAGAGTCTAGACAGCTGTAGAGAGCTGGGTCCATTGCCCAGAGCATAGCACTGGCAGTTTAATAAGCCTCCGTAAACGTCCAGGGACAGACTGTTTATGCAGAGTAGATATTGTATGGAGTGTACTCCAGCAGAAATTCGCCTACTCCAACACAATACACCACCTGGGCAATGCCAAAGAGTGGGGCAATGACCAACGCCCGGCAACTGGCTCCTTTAAGGAAAGCTCTGGGACCCTCTTTTCTCAGGATTTTTCTGCAATGGGAAGAAAAAGCCAGGATTATTAGAATGTAACTCATCCCAATTTTGATGTGCTATAGAAAACCCTCTAATAAAGAAATAAGTGCCTGATGCAGTCCACAACTCCACTGTAGGTCTCCTCATTGGATCCTTTCTTGAGCGATTGCAACCTCGTCTTCACCACTGTGGAATACATGCAAAACACACTTTGTTGCAGGGATATATGATTTCCGCATGATCCAAAAAATGTCTGTAAATCTAATCGTTGCTTGCTACTTTCCCAAAATATGTATGCATGCATCTCACCGTCACAAGGGCTGACGGCTACAGCGGCAACGGATCCAGCCAAACATCCGGACATAAAGGACCAATAGAAAGGCACGGATAGATCTTCTGATGAATGCTGACCAAGCTGCTGCAAATGGGCAAAAAGAGGAAAGTACACAACAGAGAATGGGATGTCCCTAAAAAAAGAAAGCAATAAAATAAGTTAGTAATCCAATTAATTACTATAATAACCTATAAAAATAAAAGAAAATGCACAGAAAACTCCAGTCACCTCATCAGTGTGGCCCCAAGGCCCCTGTATAAACCTGCGACCCCTTTGGTCCTCAGCAGCTCCTTAGTTAGCTCTATGGCAGATATACGAATAACCTGAGGTGTAGGGGCGGTGTTGTAGGAACGACTGAGAACAGCACTGGTCCCCCCCATCTTCAGCGTAGTTACAACACTTGGCATTACCCTCTGCTGAGCCACTGGGAGAAATACCAAGCAAAGCATCTTTGTCTTAAGAGAGCAACATTTTAAAGAGGTAATTCAAAGCCGATTGCACAAAGATGGAGGTAAAGATTTATTTTTTACCTATCCTGCCTGCATCTTGCAGCTGGATCTTGAGCATCTCCATTGGTGTGGTGATGATGACTTGACACATTCCCGCGCAACATCCTGCCAGCATCTCTTTGAAAACTGTAAGCCTGCCACTGAGGGTAATGGCATAGGGTTAAAACAACCCAAGAGTGTACAATAATGAAAAAAGAGGAAAATCTGAAGTAGTTTTTATTATCTACTCACATGTCATTACTCAACTGGTGGCGAAAAAAGTCATTAGCAGCTAGTTTTATGGCCTTCTCTGGTGTTACCAAGGTAAGATTTACCGCAGCACCTGGGCAAAGACAGGAGTAATTTACAAACTGAAATATATTTTTTAGATGCAGCTATTCTTTATCATTATTCTCCTAAATGACCCAGAAAACAGAAAAAACAACAACATTTTCATTCAAGGTCTGCTAATACTCACCTCTGTACATGCCAAAGTACCCTTCAGACTTAACAGTTTTAATGAGGCAGTCCATCCTGAATGAAACATGAGAACCCGATGAGTGAAGGTTGTCAGACGTTTTCTTTTCATGTCACGTCAACACAAAGAGACTGCCGTCTTTCTCTGACAGTTACTTCTTACATGCTCTTATACATTTGCTGCCCACTGCGCTGGTTCTGCAGGCGGGTCTTCGCCAGGTCTATTGGAAACACACAGGTGACTCCTACCATGCCTGCAATCCCTCCATTGATTAGTTTGGCAGGTAAGCTGTACAAAAACACAAAGGGTGTAAGACCTGGCATTGTCGTTCTACAACTGAATGAGGGAGGATAATGACAAACTTCTAATACTGGACTTAAAGATTTTTGTAATAACAGAAAGATGGATTGTGGGGAGATTTTTCTTTACACTTCTTAAGTGGTATCTATGGGATGTGTCAGGGCTTATTTCAACCACGCTTCTGGGAACCCGGCCACCTAAAAATAACTTGACACATCCTACACACAGGCAAAAGGCCGTCTCGAGGCCTGGACTTTTTATTTACATGAGTTACTCAACTTAAAAAGTTATATTTGTGTCTACATGCATTCTACGTATCATGCTGGTAAGGTTCATACCTAATCTGCTGTTGCTGGGCCATGGTTTCTTGTTTTTGGCAAGTGCAAAAATTGGTCAGGGTGACAAAGCAGGCCGCAGATGGAGACGAGGCTGGGAGTCCCTGAGAGACACGGAGCAAGGCAAGAGTGGAAAAGAAGAGCAGGGTTATATATAGGGAAGGGAAACTTAGCCCCGCTGGATTTAGGATCAATTTCGCATCTGGCTCCGCCCACATCCCCTGCAGCCAGGAAACTGAGCCGGAGTTGCTTGTAACCTCAGCAAAATTCCCTTCTGACGACACACAGTCTAACTGTGTTAGAATTCACTGAATTTATAGTAACTGGTTTCCCTGATCCAGATTAAAACAAACCCACATAATAAACAACCAAAATCCTACTCACAGTTGAAACTAGATGCAGACATGAGTTTTATAAAGATACACATGTGCATTTCTTTCTCACTGTATAGCAACAGATCACACTAAACTCTTCCTCTTTGAGGTCATTTAGAATTACTAGATATATATTTGTTAAATGCCAGAAAAATGAGAAAGACAAGCTCCCAAGACCTGTCCACACACAGGCAACCCTTCTTCTCTATATTTTCTACTGTTTGATTATAGGCTGGAACTCTTCACCTCTGCATATGTGTTGTCAGACTATCAGGATCATGGTATTGCCTCTTGAGACTTCGAGACTGCCTCTGTGCTCTTCTGACGAAATTGAGAAGAGCACAGAGTCCCTGCACAAAAAGATATCATTCATGCATGAAGTCAAGGCTGCTTCTTCCAAGACAGAGAACGAACCCTCCAACGCCAAAGCCGGACCTTCCAAGACCGGATGTTTAGAGTTCAAAGGACATTGTTTGTTTGTGTTTTTATTTTTGGTATTTTTTGCAAAAAATGTTACCAAACGTTCATGGAACAACCACTCAACCAAAACTACATGTTGGTTTTTAGCTAATACTCGTCACAATAGATTTAAGTTGTTAAATCTATTCACATCTACTGATCATTTATTCAAATGACACAAATTTCTTCTTCTTTTTGCGACTCTTTGGATCAAGTGTAAAACAGTCACACCAAAATTAAACTGTATAATTTAACTAGTATAACTAAGCAGAAAATATGACTGGGTTCCAAGCCCAACAAGTCTGCCGCCGCTTCTCCATGAATATGTTTGTGTACCTGGTCATCTGTCCCATGTCTTTTTTGTGTTGCCCTGTGATGGACTGACAAACGGTCCAGGATGTACACTGCCCCTTGCCTAAGTGCACTTATAAATGTGGGTATGTTGGTGTCTTTAAGCCATGAACTTTATTTTGGACTGGAAGGGTTAGCAACCTTGTTGATTTATCTCAATAAGCATGCATCTCACACTGTATCTAAGTAGATCATGGGCAGTGAAACCCTTTGCTGTAGTGCTGATATGAAATATGCAAATTTGTGTCCCCCTAAACTTAACAATGTGTTAAAGTTTTTATGAGTGCACTGAGCATGAAGTCCAACAGAAGCAAAATGATACAATAAAAGTGTCCAGAAATTGTAATGTCCGTTTACAATTATTTATTAATGTGCATACACAATCTTATTTATTGATGCAGCACACGTTCAACACAGGGCTTCGTTGCTGTATCAGTTTCCAATCGAACTACAGAAAACGCTACAGCCATCTAGTACAAATACGACTCAGTCAGCTAGTTAACTGCCATTTGACATGTAGGTGCATTGCTTTTATGAGCAGGTTGTCAGGTTTCCAAAACATTTCAGATTCTGTTTCTCCACACCACCAAGTTTCACAGAGCACTGGTCGTAAGAGTACGGTCTGGGTTTGACACAGTGGTGCGTGCGCGTGTCACAGCGCCTGCAGCTGCAGCAGCGGGCCGCGGGATAATACAACTGTGAGCCAACATCCTGAGGACAGCCAGGAATGAAGACAGCCCGGTACACAAGGGAGATGGGCACACAGCTCCGCTGAATCAGGAAAGCCCTGCCAAAGCTGCCCTTCAGATTGGTATCCTGGAGGACAGGAAGGAAGGATGAGAGGAACAGAGCAGTTTTTGATCAGAACTTCAAAAATGTTTAAAAAGACTAATATTTCAGAATCTATTCTTTGAATTCTTTCTTTTAATTATCCATCTATCCAATCACTACCTATACTTGGTTATCCCTGAAGATCATAAGGAGGCTGGTGAGTATCTATTGCTCTCATCGGGAGAGAGCCGGGGCACGACATGGACAGGCTACTCATCAAACACAGGGCAACACAGAGACACGCAGGTCAAAAACACACACACACACACACACACACACACACACACACACACACACACACTCGCACCTAATAGTTCTTTTAGAGTAACTAAAAAACCGAAGAGTCAGATATTTCGACTATGGGTGGAATCGTGTGTGTGTAACCGCAGCACGCTGAAGGACACCTATGGGGAGGATCTTACTGGAAAATGACCCTGGGCTGGAATTCAATCCCAGGACCTTCTGACTGCAATGTGACGGTGATGACAACTGTGCCGCCGCCATACAGCCACACTTCAAATAAAAAATACCTTTGCAAAAAAACAGAAACGGTCTGTTCTCACTCACTCTCGTGTAGCAGTAGCCACTGCATATGGTCGTGTTGACAGCCACACACTGGGTACAGTTTTTCTTCTCAAGCCATATTGTGTGATTCATCAGGGTACAGGTGTAGACGGCTCCAACCATTAACGCAAAAAGCAGAGTCCGTCTCAAAATAAACAGAGGCATGCTAGAAAATGCAGATACAGACATAAATGAGCAATCAAGACGCAATCACACGGAAAATGCAAAGCACGAACATAAAGATAAAACATTTGAAAGACGCAGAGCACTTCATCTGAACAGAATTTCTTTGAAATGCATACAGACCTGTTTGTTTAATCTTGGTGAATTGAGCTATCGTTGTTACCACATCAGACATGCAGCGTAAAAAAAAAAAAATAAAAATTAGTCCCTCTGGATGTGCAATCTTTCACGTCTAGAAAAAATAAAAAATACAACGTTTTGCACTGCTGTTTTTCTACTTAATGTCATCTAAGCTCTCTAACTCTTCTCTGCTTTTCTCCTCTGTTAAGATTTGAAAATACTGCGTCTGTTCGGCGTCTTTTATGCAAACCTTAATCCATCTTGGCTGCCCCACTAAACTTCAGTCTATGATATCCTCCCAGACATTATGTCAGCTGACTGCAGGTGTGTGCATGCTCACATGAATATTCATTTTCACAGGTCACACTATTTGATGCACAGAGGGGAGGAGGTGTCATGCTTATATAAATTTGAGTCCCAGCAGGTTCAGATGGCGGTCAGAAAACCAGTACATGTGCCAGCCAGAAGTGGTCAGTGAAACTGTTTACTTGGGTTTCTGGAAACTGAACAAATCCAGATTTTCATAAAAAAATGATTTCTTTTCTAAACTTATGGCACATTTTAAGTCAATGTTGTTAAAATAAAAGAAAATCAAGCGATAAGACAGTTATAATGAGGAAATAAAACAATCTAAGTTTTTCATCGGTTTGTGAAAATCAAGCATCTTTGCTGTTGATCCACCTTATGTTGGGACAATACATGAATGAGTCCCACCTGAGAAAAAGGATGTCGCTGGCTGTCAGACTTATCTAAGCAGTTTTAGATAAACTCAAATTATAGCCTGAAAACATTGCCGATGAAACACATGGTTTTTATATATTACATTTCCTTCAAATTGCTTGTTTTCATAGGTAAATAAGGAAAGAATAGGTAAATAAGGAAAGAATGGTCAAACAATGAGTAATTTCATGGAAAATGAGCAGTGTAGTTTTAAATGACTGCAGCTGTGTGCATATATTATGAGGGCTTAATCTTGATTAACGACAATTTTACTGTCAATATGACAAACGAGGAAGTTGGTCATGCAACTGTGTGACGCTCTACATTTCCAATGATGGGTCAGAACTATGTAACAAAGCTATCAGATGAATACAATAAACTGGGTCATAAACAGTTCAGCAATTATCTTCCTTGACATACATATGAAGGTTTTTCATAATTTGGGTGACAAGAGGTTTATGAAAAAACCAAACCAACAATGCACATAAGCAGCTGTGTATGTCCACAAGCAGCTAGAGTGTGTCAGTGCTATAAGAAAATAAGACATATTAATAGCATTTGTTTAGTTACATGTTTTATTGTTTTTGATTTAAAAATGATTGAGAAGCTATTCTATTCTTTCTGGATTAGTAAAGAAAAATGAGAGAAGAAATCAGGACAAATCTGTCTTAGCGAGAGTGAAATCAACAAAGTATATCACTCTTCAATATTGTCCTCCATCCAGTGTTGTGTTCAAGACCACCTAACCCGAGACCAAGACAAGACCAAGACCAGAGTGTATCGAGACCGAGACAAGACC